CCCTCCGACTCCTGCCGTTGATGACCATGTCACCCTCTGACTCCTGCCGTTGATGACCAAGTCACCCTCGACCCCTGCCGTTGATGACCATGTCGCCCTCTCACTGGGGAGGAGGAAGCGTTGAGGTGCGGGGGCTTCTTTGGCACTGGTATCTGCCAGCTGAACCGATGCCCAGAATTGCCAAAAGGAATTTTGTATAAATGAAAGCCCCAGGTCGCCCAGATGATTCTCACCCTGTTCGTTGCACTGTGGGACCACGTGGACCCTAGCGACCAAAGTCAATCGGCCACATCACCTAAACTAAAAACACTGCCGTGATGACAAAGGTCGCCCTCCGACCCCTGCCGTTGATGACCACGTCGCCCTCCGACCCCTGCCGTTGATGACCACGTCGCCCTCCGACCCCTGCCGTTGATGACCACGTCGCCCTCCGACCCCTGCCGTTGATGACCACGTCGCCCTCCGACCCCTGCCGTTGATGACCACGTCGCCCTCTGACCCCTGCCGTTGATGACCACGTCACCCTCTGACTCCTGCCGTTGATGACCACGTCACCCTCTGACTCCTGCCGTTGATGACCATGTCGCCCTCGACTCCTGCCGTTGATGACCATGTCACCCTCTCACTGGGGAGGAGGAAGCGGAGGTGCGGGGGCTTCTTTGGCAGCTGGTATCTGCAGAGCAGCATGAACCGAAAATGCAAAAGGTGGGGTGCTTGTTGCAGAATTGCCAAAAGGAATTTTGTATAAATGAAAGCCCCAGGTCATCACAGATGATTCTCACTAGTGCCTGTTCTTTTGCACTGTGGGATTCACACAAAAGGTGGACCCTAGCGACCAAAGTCAATCGGCCACATCACCTAAACTAAAAACACTGGCAAAGGTGCCTGCAAACACCTGTTGTACTTTAGCTTTGTACTTCGGCAGATCTTAGGACAAAGGCTGTATAAAGGCCACAATGTGTCAACATCCAGACTGAAGCGTACCCAAGATATGCTCATTCTGTGTATGTTTGCACAATTTTAACCACTTCAAGTCCGGACACTTACACCCCCTTCCTGTCCAGGCCAATTTTCACAATCACACTTTGAATGACAACAATTGCGCGGTCATGCAACACTGTACCCATATGAATTTTTTATCATTTTTTTGAGACAGATAAAGCTTTATTTTGGTGGTATTTATTCACCACTGGGATTTTTATTTTTGTTTTGCTATATAAATGAAAAAGTCCAAAAATTAAAAAAAAAAAAAAAAAAAAAGTGTTTTGCTTATAAACTTTTGTAAATAAATAATCTTTCTTCATAAATCGTGGCCAAAATTTATTCCGTTATCTTTCTAGTAAAAAAAAAAAAAAAAGTAACCCGAATTAGTTTATAACCAAAAATTCTAATTTTTCTAAATTTTTTTTTTACATTTTTATATTTTTTTTTAGATTATTATTATGGGTTTTTTTTACATACCGTCACCCTAGCAGTAGTGTCACCATAGGGACACTGTACTACTTGTGGGGGGTTATGAAGATTTTTTGTTTTTTTTTACACCGATTGCTTTTACACTCAAAGGCTGTAAAAGCAATCATTTCTCCTCTCTGGCTGCATTCTTGCAACCATTGAGAAATACTGTGAGAGCTGTGATTGGTCACAGCTTGTCACATGGTACAAGGCTATTGTGACTAGTTTTGTACCATGTGACCTCTGTGATCATTCACAGATTTCACACGTAGTAAGCAATGATGTCAGAAGTGATATCTTGCTTACTACTCTTCGTGTGATCACTGATTGGCCAATCAGTGATCACATGATCGGGACCTCACACAGAGGTCCCGTACAACGATCAGTGTTCCACTGTGTCCGGAGGACACAGCAGGCACCGGATCGCGGTGCTGCGCGCTCCCAGGGCTGGACGGGAAGTGGTTAATTTAGGAACTAAAAAGATCACCCTATCAACTACCACACAGGTAAATCTTACACCTTCTACATATGGGGCTTTAGTATAAAGGAGCAATGTGTGCAGCAAGATTTTGCAAACATTCAGCAAAGCTCCATGCAACTTTACCTAAAAAGCAACTATTGTGGGGGCGTACAACATATCTTAAGCCCCAGTTCACATCAATGCGCGGGCCGCGTTTTGCGCAGGCATGAGAGCGCATTCATTTGAATTGACTCCCGTGCCCTGTGACACGCAGGGAAGAAGTCCCTGCACTTCTGAAAACGCAGCCCGCACGGCAACCTCAGTTGCCAGTACGGTTGCGTTTTCCAGTGTGGGCGGAGTGCCATTAGAACTAATGGCACCCACCCACGGGTCCGCATTTCTCTGTGCGGGTGGTGATCCGCGGATCCGCAGTGGCAACACCTGCACAGATGTGAACCTAGCCGAAAGGGAGTGCTGACTTCCACTATAAACAAGCTGCTGGCAGGCTACAACAGGCTTAGATCAATAATCAAGTAACGATGAAGCCTGCTAGCAGCATGTTAAATTGACAGTCAGGCATTCCTATTGAGATTTGTGTTTAACCACTTCCTGTCTGGACACTTATAACCCCTTCCTATCCAGGGCAAGTTTCAGCTTTCAGCGCTATCACACTTTGAATGACAATTGCAATCATGCAACACTGTACCCATATGAATTTTTTACCATTTTTTTGAGACAGATAAAGCTTTATTTTGGTGGTATTTATTCACCGCTGGGATTTTTATTTTTTTTACTATGTAAATGGAAAAAGTCCAATAATTTTGAAAAAAAAAGTGTTTTTTTTAATAAAATTTTGCAAATAAATATTTCATCATAAATCTTGGCCAAAATGTATTCGGTTATTTTTTTAGTAATAACCAAAAATTATAATTTTTAAACATTTTTTTTAATTTTTATATTTTTTTTTTTTTATTATTTTTTTTTTACATACTGTCACCCTAGCAGTACAGTGTCACCATGGTGACATGTACTACTTGTGGGTGATGAAGATTTTTTTTTTTTTTTTTTACACGGATTGCTTTTACACCCATATAGGATGTAAAAGCAATCATTCCTCCTCCTCTCTGTCTGCATTTTTGCAGTCATTGAGAAGTACTGAGTGAGCTGTGATTGGTCACAGCTTGTCACATGGTACAAGGCTGTTGTGAATAGCCTTGTACCATGTGACCTCTGTGATCATTCACAGATTTCACACGTAGTAAGCAATGATGTCACAAGTCATCTTGCTTACTACTTTGCATGTTATCACTGATTGCCAATCAGTGATCACATGATCGGGACCTCGTACAGAGGTCCCGTCCAACGATCGGTGTTTCACTGTGTCCGGAGGACACAGCGGGCACCGGATCGCGGTGCTGCGTGCTCCCAGGGAGCGCGCACAGCTAGAAAAGGCGGGTGCCGTTTATGAACGGAAACCCGCCCCTGGACTGCCACCGCCCTGCCGTTTATAAACAGCAGGCGGACGGCAAGTGGTTAACCTCCCCTAACTAGAGATGCACAGAACTGCCTGTAGCTGGCTAGAATCAAATGCTTTGTGAATGCCTGCCGTACACACTGCTCTTACTCATGCTGTAGCTGTGTATACAAGGGCCTTACCCCAAGTGCCACCTCACCTGTAAATGACTAAGCAACCCCACTATCCATCATATTACAAAGTAGGCATTTCTACTTGAAGTATGACAAATTGAAGACTAATTGGTCTGCGCTAATCTCGAGGTGATAAATAAAATCCTGTGATGTTAATACCCCAGACAGTATACAAACCTTATTAAATATACATAAACCAAAAATGATTGAATAGAATGCACATGAAAACATCCAAATTGTGGATAATAGTGAATACCACCCAAACGTACACCTAGGAACACCACTAGTTTGGGTGGTATTCACTATTATCCACATAATCTGGATGTTTTCATGTGCATTCTATTCAATAATTTTTGGTTTATGTACATTTATTTACAGGTTTGTACACTGTCTGGGGTATTAATATCACAGGAGTTTATTTATCACCTAGAGATAGCGCAGCACCAATTAGTCTTCAATTTGTCATTTTCCATCGGGTATATGGTAAGGTACTAGCAGCTTTTTAGTATAAACTAATAGGGGACCTAGAGCGCGGGAGGACCATACAGATATAATCTACTTGAAGTATGGCCACCCAGTCATTTCACTAACCACGAAATGACTGGGAAAATGACACTGTAACCTTTTTAAGAATCTATAAATCTATAAAGAACTAAAGCAGGTCCTTCTGTATATGCAAATACAGCTGATCTTTCATATTCACTCACCTTTGTATCCTCTCCCATCTCCTCCTCTTCTTCCACAATCACCTTTGCCTTCCTCTCCTCGTGCAGTTCTTTCACAGGTTCATCCTCCAGCTCTTCAATAACAGGTGGCTCTGAGTCAGGCACATCGTCGTCGTCGTCATCATCATCATCATCTTCTGGATCAACCATTTCCTCCTCTTGACAGGGTTCAGGGTCTGTACGTGGTGGAGGTGGGGGAGTTAGTACAGGAGGTGGAGGGGGCTAGATGTCACTTCTGTTTCTGTGTTTCCATCCTGATCATCATCCTCTGTGTTCTCTCGATCTTCGCTCTCTACCACCATGAGAAGGTCCGTGTCTCCACCATCGTCTTCCTGTACAGGGGACAAACGGGGCGGGCCCTCTTCCTGTTCTGGTTCTTGCTGAATGACCGGTTTAGTGTCCTCTACTACCGGCTCTATATCAGGTACAGCTTCTGGGCCATCTTCCACGCGAACAGCCTCTACATCTTGGACTGCTTCTACATCTTCAATAGGTTCAACATCCTGTATGGCTTCTACGTCCTGTATGGCTTCTACATCTTGTATAGATTCCACTGCTGTACCTAGTTGTATATCATCATGCATTAAGCCCTCTTCATCTTCTTCCTCCTCTTCCTCTTCTCCATCCAGATCCTCCTCTTCCTCATCCTCTTCTGACATACCTTCCTCATCCTCAAAGTCGTCTTCTTCCTCATCATCATCTAGACCTTCCAGATCGTCGTCGTCGTCTTCTTCATAATATTCATCTTCATCCTCATCATACATCTCTTCATCTTCTTCCTCCTCTTCCTCATCAGTGCTGTTGATGTTGATGACCATGTCGCCCTCTGACTGGGGTGGTGGAGGAGGAAGAGGAGGAGGAGGGGGAGGAAGGGAAGGTGCGGGTGCTTCAGTGGCGACTGGCATCTGCGGAGCAGCAGGAATTGAGCATGCAAGAGGTGGTGGTGCTTGTTGCGGAAGTGCTGTTGTGTTCGGTGATGGGGCATTGTGTGTGGTGGGAACCTCCGCTGTCTCTTCAGCAGGGGGCTTGGCGGAAGGTGGGGAAGGTTCAGATTTCATCGCTGGTTTCTGGAGGAAGCCTTTAGGTACTATTACGACGCTGTCGTCTGAATCACTCTCTAAAGAAATCTCCACATCTGAAGCTTCTTCTTTCTCATAGTGAACAAAGACTGGCCGCGGAGTCTTTCCCAAAGTCTCTGGAGGGGACTGCACTGCTGAGGCAGCTGGGGGCTCTATGGGCTGTGGAGGAACTGGGGTTCTGACTGGAAGGTGATTGGCTGGAGGTGGGACTGGGAATGTAAGTGGACGAGCTGGAACAGGAAGTCGCTGGGTGGGTATCTCAGACTGTAGAGGTGGACGAGGTCCGTGCTGTGGAAGGGGGCGCTGAAGGGTGGGAACACGGGGGTGAATGATGACCCGGCAAATGGCAAGGGCTTCTGCACAGAACATGGACACCTGTAACGAACATATGAGAAACCTCAAGTTATAATATGGAAAGCAAACATTCCTGCACTGAAAGCATATAGTTACATAGTTAGTCTGGCTGAAAAAAGACAAAAGTCCATCCAGTTCAACCACAGAAAAAAAAAAAAAAAAAAAAAAAGTTATCCGTCACCCACAGTTGATCCAGAGGAAGGCAAAAAAAAAAAATAAATATAAATAAACTCATTTTTTATTAACCACTTCAACCCCGGGCACTTTTACCCCCTTCCTGCCCAGGTCAATTTTTAGCTTTCAGCGCTGTCGCACTTTGAATGATACTGTACCCAAACAAAATATTAAATCGCTTTTGTCCCACAAATAGGGCTTCTTTTGGCGGTATTTAATCACCACTGAGCTTTTTATTTTTTGCTAAATAAACAAGACTGTAAAAAAAAAAAAAAAAAACGAAAACAAAACAAAAAAAAAAAATAAAAACAAAAACAAAACAAAATAAATAAAAACAAAACAAAAAAAATAACACAAATAAATAAACAAAAAAAAATAAACAAAAAAGACATGTTTTTCTTTGTTTTTGTTATATAAAATTTTGCAAATAAATAACTAATCATAAATTTAGGCCAAAATGTATTCTTCCGCATACAAATCAGCCCAAATCAGTGTATATTATTTAGTCTGTAGGAAAGTTAGTCTACAAACAAATGTAGATCTTTAAATCGATCAATCCTGGTGTACTGACAGCAACTCATTTCTTGAGGTCCAAAATGTCAGGACAGTACAGATATCCCCCAAATGACCCCTTTTTTGAAAGAAGACAGTCCAAGGTATTTAGTAAGAGGAATGGCGAGCGGTTTGAAGTTGTAATTTTTTTGTCAACATTTTTTTTTAAAATTTGGAATTGAAAAAAAAAAAAAATCCCTTTTCTTTTTATCTAACATACTGTCACCAGTGCAGTACAGCGTCATCACATAACTGGTGTGGCAGCGATCAGAGGAACCGACTGGTGACAGTATGAAAAAAAAATTATATAACTTTACTTTTTTTTAAACTCGCTGCGACCAGAGCAGTATGATGTTACCACAGTAATCTTGTACTACTCTAAGGAAGTGATAAGGATTTTTTTATTTTTTTTACACAAATTATGAATGCTTATAGCAGTGAATTTCGCTGCTATAAGCAATCATTTTACTGAATGAATTTGATTTTTTTTGTTGTGACAAGCTGTAATCACATGGTACAGATTGGCTATAACTGTACCATGTGATCACTGTGACCATTCACAGCTGACAACACAAATGTCATGACATGAAAGGAAGCCATTCATTGTTTACAATTGTCATGTGATCTGTTGTGACTGGTCACAGCAATCACATGGTACCAGCACCGTCTATGGACACAGCCAGTGACGTTCTAGGAGGACATCATATGATGTCCACCCAGAATGACGAAAGTTCTCCCAGATGTCAAACTGCTATTGGCTAGGCAGGATGTGGTTAAGGGCAACGCCAACACCACAGCTCATTTCCATCCAAATTCTGTACTATCTGTACATTTACTGTATATATTTACCAAGACGTTTATACAGTATTTCACATACTGGCTGCACAGCATATACAAGCATATGACAACACTTTCAGATTATTTGGCCTCTGCACTCTTGCTTGGCATCTGGACTACTACTGATGGCTGCCAAGGATCTACCCTTCTGTCCAGCAGTTTAGACTAGGTACTCCTCTGCAAACTTGATTTAAAAAGTTTCATTCAAACTATAAATATTTAGAAAAATTACTCCGAATAAAGTAAAATGTTTTAATGAGTTTTGGAACAAAAGGCATTCTTAACGTATTTTCTTTTTTTTTTTTGAACTTACATTTGTATATTTATATCTAATTTATGTCATTTTCTTTATTTTATTTATAAATAAGTTAGATTACATTTTAATGTCTAATTTTGTTTTCAGCTTACAGCCAGCAGGTTCCACACGCAAAGCAGGTACAGCAAGTATGTCCAGACCTGGACAGCACAGAGATTAAATCACATCCTGCAGAGACACTCAGAGGAGCACCCTCCCCTTTTTACTCTTGGCAAAGTGAACTATCTGGACTTGCATACAGGCTGCCAAGGAGAACATCAATGTACAAAATTTTTTAACAACATGATCCCTTTTTTCTTTCCAGCAAGTCTCCAACACTGTCCTACCTGAAGGCTCTCCTCTGTTATACCCCCTCTAAAGATCCTGACAGCACAGTGCAGAGGTGCAGGCAGACGAGGGCTTGGAGTCAAGATCAGGGACAGAAGCAGCCGATAAAGTTGCTTGCGGCAGTCACTGCTGATGTATGGGCCAACCCACTGATCGGAGCCTTGCTGTAGACGCAGCAGTAAGGGGATGGAGAACTCTTGAAGGCGCTGGGGAGAGAGACACAGATCTGATTACCTTGAATTGGCAATGGAACAAGCAAAAAAAAAAAAAAAAAAATTAAAAAAAACTGAACTGTCAACCTGTGCTTTGTCTTGAAATAATCCCATTAGTCTATACAGTTGTGCTCAAAAGTTTGCACCACCTGGCAGAAATTGTGAAATTTTGGCATTGATATTGAAAATATGACTGATCATGCCAAAAAATGCTCTTTTATTGAAGGATGATGATCATATGAAGCCATTTATTATCATAGAGTTGTTTGGCTCCTTTTTAAATCAAAATGATAACAGAAATCACCCAAATGGCCTGGATCAGAAGTCTCCGCTCCCTGGATTAGAAGTCTCCACCCCCTGGATCAAAAGTTTCCCTCCCCCAGAATGTTTGGCCTTGCTACAGACACACAAGGTGACACACACGGGTTACAATGCCAATTAGAGGTTAATGTCCCACATCTGTGGCTTTTTAAATTGCAATTAGTGTCAGTGTATAAATAGTCAATGAGTTTGTTAGCTCTTACGTGGAAGCACTGACTAGGCTAGATACTGAGCCATGGGGATCAGAAAAGAACTGTCAAAGAAGGAGGACTGTTTTGTTTAATAACAGTTCTCCTCCCTGTCAGCTCTGGCACACTGCTCTGGATGACTGTGCACAGCACAGCCATCCAGAGCAGTGTGATTACAGTGAAGCACACAGACGCCGCCCCCTAATAAAACACTCCCTGCACATAGTTAACCCTTTGATCGCCCCTCATGTTAACCCCTTTGCCCAGTGCCATTAGTACAGAGTCAGTGTGGTTTTTTTTTTTTTTTTTTTTAGCACTGATCACTGTATTGGTATCACTGGGGATGTCAGTGACACCAAGCCAGTTCCCCCCAGTGTCAGAATGTCTGCCGCAGTCCCACTATAAGTCGCTGATCACTGCCATTACTAGTAAAAATAAAACAAAAAAAATCCCAGTATATATACCGCCATTTGTAAATGCTATAACTTTCACATAAACCAATTAATTTACACGTATTGGGATTTTTTTTTTTCAGCAAAAATACATGGTGCAGAATACATTTTGGTGTAAATTTATGATGAAATTCGATTTTTTTAATTTGTTTACTGGACATGTTTAATGGCAAAAAGTAAAAAAAATATAGTTTTTTTTCACAATATTGTCTGTCTTTTTTTTTTATAGCGCAAAAAAAATAAAACCGCACAGGCGATCAAATTCCACCGAAAGAAAGCTCAATTCCTGGGGAAAAAAGGATGTACATTTCATTTGGGTGCAGCGTTGCAGGACTGCGCAAATGTCAGTTAGCAATGCAGCGCTGTAATGAAAAAAATTGGCTGGTCAGGAAGTGGGGGGGGATCCTCTGGAGGGCAAGTGGTTAAAGTTGGGATCCACCCAGATGGCTCTCAGCAAACCACTGAGAGCCTGAGCCAGCCCCTCCCACCCCCTCCACAGCCTGGCGCTCCAGTGAACAATGTAGGGGCAGAGCAGGGAGCAGTGACTGACAGTCACTGTCTCTCTGCTCACTGAAGACCGAAAGCTGAGCGATCAGTGGTCTTTGAACGCTCAGTTCTCAGAGCCAGTATGGGACAGATGCAGCATCGGAACAATACTGCATTCACCTAGGTATGTATGTTTGGTCTTTTTCTTAAACCCATACTTCTCTTTTCAGGTAAAATGGCTTAGGGTTGGGGTTTCAGTACATGAGTTTTGATTGCTTGCATCTGAAGTATGCCAGCAGCAGTTGCGTCCCGAGGCAGGTGTGCACCGCACTGGGTGACACCAGACCCGTTCCACGAAAAGGTAAGTAGTAAAGCAAATCGACGATCCTCACAGGATGGATCGGATCTGAAGATTGGGGAGCATAATGGATCGGAGTCCGATCCACTCTGCTCAATCCGCAGATCCGATCCATTCTGCGGGGATCGTCAGGGGGTGTCACCAAGTGTTATCGCACCGGGTGACACCAACCCTAGGGACACCCTTGCCAGCAGACTCCTATTTGCCATGTTTCTCTAAATGCAGCAGGTCCTATTGGAGTTGCATTTACTATGCAGGTCAAAAGCAGCCTTTTGTGTTTGAAAGCTTACGTTTGAGCTGCACGGTATTCGAATGAATGAGCAAATGTGTTTTACAGCAAAATCCATGTACACAAGCCCTAATCTGGCAGGGAACAAGAAAACATAATCCCAATAACAGCAGAGTTAGAAAACTTCTCATGCAGCACACGTTAATCACTCACCCGATGTGTATCATCCTTTATCAGTGACCCACCATATAGAACAATGGAGCAAAGGCCTGGAAAAGAAAATGCAGATTATCAAATATTAGTGTGCAACACAGACAAGTATTTTTGCATTTATCCCTTCCTCAGGGCTATACAGAGTTAGCAGTAAGCAAGGTTACACCTCCTCCTGCAGTGTGACGCTAAAAGGAGCTATGAGTCTGTGCTCCTCCTGCGGGTGACACAGAAGGAGACTGAGTCTGTGCTCCTCCTGCATGGCTGACACAGACAGAAGGGAGCCATGAGTCTGTCGCTATTCCTGCAGAGCGAGACAGACAGAAGAGTGCTATCATTCTGTCCATAATTCTGCAGAGAAACATGGTGACAATAGTAGAATATATAGTCCATAGGACACAGTTTGGAAGCATCTAGTACGTACCCCTCAAGGCCGCTATACACAGCTCTGTGTTTGCGGTAGTTTCTTTCTTCCTGTGACTCTGGAAATCTCCATTTGTCATATCTGAAACTTTCTGCTTCTTTGCTCCAAGCTGCACAAATCCTGATATCTGGGCAGGAGAACAGAGAATGGATGAAGACAGGGCTGATATCTGGGCAGGAGAACAGAGAATGGATGAGGACAGGGCTGATATCTGGGCAGGGGCAGGAGAACAGAGAATGGATGAGGACAGGGCTGATATCTGGGCAGGAGAACAGAGAATGGATGAGGACAGGGCTGATATCTGGGCAGGAGAACAGAGAATGGATGAAGACAGAGCTGATATCTGGGCAGGAGAACAGAGAATGGATGAAGACAGAGCTGATATCTGGGCAGGAGAACAGAGAATGGATGAGGACAGGGCTGATATCTGGGCAGGAGAACAGAGAATGGATGAGGACAGGGCTGATATCTGGGCAGGAGAACAGAGAATGGATGAGGACAGGGCTGATATCTGGGCAGGAGAACAGAGAATGGATGAGGACAGGGCTGATATCTGGGCAGGAGAACAGAGAATGGATGAAGACAGAGCTGATATCTGGGCAGGAGAACAGAGAATGGATGAAGACAGAGCTGATATCTGGGCAGGAGAACAGAGAATGGATGAAGACAGAGCTGATATCTGGGCAGGAGAACAGAGAATGGATGAAGACAGAGCTGATATCTGGGCAGGAGAACAGAGAATGGATGAGGACAGATCTGATATCTGGGCAGGAGAACAGAGAATGGATGAGGACAGATCTGATATCTGGGCAGGAGAACAGAAAATGGATGAAGACAGAGCTGATATCTGGGCAGGAGAACAGAGAATGGATGAGGACAGATCTGATATCTGGGCAGAAGAACAGAGAATGGATGAAGACAGAGCAATGGTGAAGGATGTATACAAAGGGCTGGTGGGTCCACTTACCTTCACATTGTCTGTGGGTGGATTGATATCAGTTAGAATATGGGCCAGTAAGACGTCAGAGTGATGGGACATCCCTTGCAAAATCCCAGAAGAAACCCCACACATGGTTACCCATCGTTCCAGCACGCGGTACACCGCTCCACGGAGGGCACTACATCAGAGAGATTCATTACATATAACTGTCACACAGGACACATTAGGGAATCAAATCTATACCGTGTAGCCAAGCTCTAACTCCATATTCATCTGCTCCACAGATATATACACTCACCGGCCAGGATATTAGGTACTAGTGCCAAGAAAATCTCCCCCACACTATTAAACCACCACCAGCCTGAACGGTTGATACAAGGCAGGATGGATCCATGCTTTCATGTTGTTGATGCCAAATTTTGACCCGACCATCTGAATGTCAAAAGCAACCAGTCTGCCCATTGACATCAACAAGGCATTTTCATCCACACAACTGCCGCTTCCTGGATATTTTCTCTTTTTTGGACCATTCTCTGTAAACCCTAGAGATGGTTGTGTGTGAAAATCCCAGTAGATCAGCAGTTTTTGAAATGCTCCGACCAGCCCGTCTGGCACCAACAACCATGCCACGTTCAAAGTCACTTAAATCCCCTTTCTTCCCCATTTTGATACTCTGAACTTCAGCAAGTTGTCTTCACCACGTCTAGATGCCTAAATTCAATGGGTTGCTGCAATGTGATTGGCTGATTAGCAATTTGTGTTACCAAGCAATTGAACAGGTGTAACTAATAATGTGGTCGGTGAGTGTATCACACAACTATACACACAAAATTTTCTTTCAAGTTGCCAAACAAATTTGCAGTTTCATACGAATTAGAACTCTTCCAATGGTCTACTCTGTACCTTTAACCTCCCTAGCGGTCTGATTATGTCCATATTTCTGTGCTCAAAGTGGTAAATTTTTTTGCATGGAAATATGTTGTTTTTTTTTATTGTAGGCCTGTAATTCTTAGGAATAACTCACTGAAATCTGAGAGTACAAAAGTCTAGTAAACATCCCGGGTATGATAAAATTTGAAACACGAAATCATAAATTATAAAAAATAATATAATAAATGTAATTCAATAATGTAATCAAACCAAAAACACTGAAATGTGAAATAGAGCGCCAAGTTCGCACATCGCTGAGCAAAGTTGCAGAATCGTTTTCAGTGTCTGATGATGAATTTCCCCCACAAATCATTATCACTCAATTCTGCAAGTGGTTCTGATTTACTATCGCTGTTCTCTAGCCGGTCTAAAACCGCTTTTGACCTAAAGGGACGCTTTTTGGACGCCATGGACGTTTCTCAGTTTCCAGGCAGAAAGAATAGTAATAATGCAGGCAGGGCGCCAGACAAAGCACTCGGGACAACATGTATGTGAAATGGTTTGATACAGGAATGTAATACTATCAGATTTTAGTGTACTGAGTGAATGACACATTAAAATTTCCCACCAGTTCCATCCCCCGTACGTCCCGACATCACAGGGAACGGAACCCGGAAGACAGATGCCCAGCATCGGCCGGAGGACATTACAGGGGACACTGCAGGGGGGACATCGCGGGAGCGCAGGACAAGGTAAGTGCTGGAGGGATCCCGGAGCAGCACTGCAGAGTATTCCCGAGTGTAGCTCGGGGTTACCGCTTGTGGTGCTGAAACTTTACCCCGAGCTACACTCGGGAATACCGCCAGGGGGAGGTTAAAGGCTCAGTTCACCTTCTAGACCAGGTTTCATGTTACAACCATATTTCGGGTGTAACATGAAGCATGGTCAAATACGTCATTCCCAAAAAACCCAAACCGTCCCAACCCCCCGCCCCACCTATTCCTAGATCACAGGGTGCATCTTTCAGCTAAATTCTGCGACAGTTTGAATGTAACACTGCCCCGCCCACAAAGCTGTGTCATCCAGGTCCACCTTTTGTAAAAGTAGTAAACACAGCAAAACTGATCTAATGATCAATGTGATGTAACTAATTTTTATGGACACATTGCCGTGCTGGAGGAAGTGCAGCTTGGACTACAGAGCTGAGGTAAGGGGAGAGGCATCTCCAGCGTGCTCTGCATAGTCCTTCTGCAGTGACAGGGTCATGTACTAAAGCTTTAAAAAAAAAAAAAAAAAAAAAAAAAAAAATCTGTTCAAAGTGTTTTTAAGTGTTTACAAAGACAGTTTCTTAAAGAACGCTATCCAATTATTTAAAGCAGAATTCCGGGTAAATGTTTTCCTTGCCTGTGCAGTGGGGCTGTGCTTGCCCTGCATGGGTTTACTGCTGGTTTTGTTCTAGGGAAGAGGATAGTGAAAATATACATATCTGAACCGCTGATCCTCCCCTGCACAGTCCCTTTGGCTTCTGCCCCGCACCATAGTCCAGCGGTCTTGTAAATGGACTGTTTCTGACGTCAGCACACTCAATAGACAGGAACAGTCCACCGCTGGGGGAGCACGTTTTTCCGAAGAATCAGCGGGTCAGGTATGAGCTTTGTCCTCAACCCTATAAAAAATGAGCAGCTAATCCATGCAGTGAGGTCACAGCCCCACCGCAGGTAAAATACAATTTTGACCTTAATTCTACTTTAAAAGGATAAGTTCACCTTTTAAAAAAAAAATAAAAAATTAAATGCACATCTTTTTTGCAGGTAAAACAACGTGCTTTTTTTTTTTTAATTAGCAGCCCAAAAAGCAATGCACCCATGATCAGCAGATTGTGGGTGCTAGGCAGGGCTCTTGTAGACTCTGTGCAAGCTGTGTGTTTGTACCGCATACTAGTAGTTACACAATGACAGGAACTTTCAATGGACTACCACAGATCTCAAAAGCTGCAGCAATAACATGTTACACCCTGAACATGGGTGTAATATGTACCATGTTAGAAAAGGTGAACTTATCCTTTAAAGCGTGGAGCTCCACCCAAAAGGGAAAGTTCCACAATAAGCCCTTGCCCCCCGCTCTCCATTAAGGACTGACACCTTTGGAAAGCAGGGGGGTGGGAGGAGAGCAGGTACCCGAGTTTGACAGGTACCCGCTACCATTTCTAGTCCGATTGCCTAGGCTATGGGTAGGCAACCTGCGGCTCTCTAGCTGTTGTGGAACTACATTTCCCATGAGGCATTGCAACAGTACAAAGCTATGACTTGCAGAGGCATGATGGAACTTGTAGTCCTGCAACAGTTGGAGAGCCGCAGGTTGCCTACCCCTGGCCTAGGCGATCGGAAACAGGTGTCCTCCCTCCCTCCCTTCCTGTAGTGTTTTGGGACACGTGACAGGTCCCAGAAGACTACAGGACCATTCATGAAGCGCAGTGCTACTCGCACATGCTCAGTGGGCACCCGGCTGTGAAGTCGCAAGCTATCACAGCCGGGTGTCCACACTGAAGATGCCAGCGCCTGGAATACAGGACAGCCGGTGAAACGGGCTGCGGAGGACACACCACGGGACCGAGGGACAGGTAAGTGGCTGTTTTTTAAAAGTCAGCAGCTACAGTTTTTGTAGCTGCTGACTTTTATTTTCTTGACAGGTCAGTGGAACTCCGCTTTAAGTACAGGAAAGAAAATTATGTTATAAGCAGGGGCGGACTGACAACTCATGGGGCCCCTGGGCAATAGGGAATCATGGGGCCCCTGTGTCCTTGCCCACTCTCAAAGCACACCCAAAACAGGGGCATTTCATGGGGCCCCCTACTGACCCCGGGCCCGCCCCTCGAGTACTCAAGTGGTCAGTCCGCCCCTGGTTATAAGCAACATGTTCTTCATTTCAGACAGGGCTACATTATTTTAGTTTAAAATCCGAAGAGTACTGGAACCCTCCAGTGCAGCTATTATGTACACAGGCTCCATTACCAACCTGTAGGGTCTCTCTTGCCCGGGTGGTATTCCTCCTGCCCCTCGGACAGCTGCCCAGGAACTGAGAAGTTGTGGGAATAACCTGCAAATCACTGTACAGAATGGCAGAAGACGTGGTCCACATCTATCAACAATATATAGAAAGAAGAGTCAAGACAACAGAACAAAATATAGACAGAAAATGTTAGGCAGACTACACCCTTCCCTTGAATTGTATTGGAAAGTTCATCCAGGATACAGTGCAACGATTTACACATCTTCCAAGCCAGTTGGGAAAGCTCTGTGATAGTTTTTACAAATTAAAACGTTTATTTCTTGAACTACTGTTTTATGGTGAAAAAAAAAAAAAAAAAGAGAACCGACATTACTGAGCCCCTTCTAAATATGCTAGACACTGGTTTTAATAATTCCAGGCCCACCAGCCCAGAAAAAGTGTTCACATCGGAGGAGCCAGAATATTGGCAGACGTTTTACCTTTGTACTTGGGTTTTGCGTGGGTGACACAGGGTATTGAAAAAGGAGGATCAGCTTGACAATCAGGGAATTAGCATTTGCAGAAGGAGCATTCAGATTTCATAACCTCTCAGGAATGGTTTCCTTTAACCACTTCATGTCCGGACACTTTTACCCCCCTTCCAGTCCAGGCCAATTTTCAGCACCATCACACTTTGAATGACAATTGAGCGGTCATGCAACACTGTACCCATATGAATTTTTTAGCATTTTTTTGAGACAGATACAACTTTATTTTGGTGGTATTTATTCACCACTGGGATTTTTATTTTTTTTGCTATATAAATGAAAAAGTCTAAATTTTTTTTTAAAAAAAAGTGTTTTTCTTATAAAAATTTTGCAAAATAAACAATCTTTCTTCATAAATCTTGGCCACAATTTATTCAGTTGTCTTTTTTAAAAAAAAAAAAATATAACCCAAATCAGTTTATAACCAAAAATTATAATTGTTCAAAAAAATCGTTTACATTTTTATTTTATATTATTATTTTTGGTTTTTTTTTAACATACTGTCACCCTAGCTGTACAGTGTCACCATGGTGACACTGTACTACTTGTGGGGGGTGATGAAGATTCTGTTTTAACACTGATTGCTTTTACACCCATAAAGGCTGTAAAAGCAATCATTTCTCCTTCTGTCTGGCTGAATTCTTGCAGCCATTGAGAAATACTGAGAGCTGTGATTGGTCACAGCTTGTCACATGGTAGAAGGCTATTGTAAATAGCCCTGTACCATGTGACCTCTGTGATCATTCACAGATTTCACAAGTAGTGAGCAATGATGTCAGGAAGTGACATCTTGCTTACTAACTATTCATGTGATCACTGATTGGCCAATCAGCAATCACATGAATCAGGACCTCACACAGAGGTCCCATTGAGAAATACTGAGAGCTGTGATTGGTCACAGCTTGTCACATGGTACAAGGCTGTTGTAAATAGCCCTGTACCATGTGACCTCTGTGATCATTCACAGATTTCACAAGTAGTGAGCAATGATTTCAGGAAGTGACATCTTGCTTACTACTATTCATGTGATCACTGATTGGCCAATCAGCAATCACATGAATCAGGACCTCACACAGAGGTCCCGTATGGCGATCAGTGTTCCACTATGGACACAGCGGGCATTAGATCGCGGTGCCGCGCACTCCCAGGGGGCATGCGTAGCCTGTAAATGCGGGCACCACTTAGAAACAGCAACCCGCTTCTGCACTGCTCCCGTCCGGCCGTTTATGTACATGGGCCGGACGGGAAGAGGTTAAAGCAAACAGGTTCTCTAACAGCTGGTCCCCCAGCAGCACACAGTCACCAGTACTATGCTCCTCTGTCAGTCTATACAACAACTGGAAGAAAGGAAAGCAAGCCCTGTATAAGTTTCAGCTGCCACTTACAGAGAGATGACTTTCTCCTTGCCCATGTGTGACAGCACAGAAACTAAGGGGCGGGAGTGACATGCCCCTCCATACTTAGAAGTCCCAGGTCCTTTAATAATTCCCGAGGGCTCAGTGGAGCATTAAGAAGAGTGAAGGAAAGGTGTAGGCTGCTGGAGGACCACAGGGGCAAGGAACAAAATGCATAGAGGTGAATTTCCTAAGACCGAAGCAGACAAAATCTGGAGCAGCTGTGCATGGCAACCAATCATTTTTCACTTTCAAAGCTTAAAGTGGCGCTCCACCCAAACGTGGAAGTTCCACTTTAATGACTCGTCCCCTGATGGGGAGCAGGGGGGGATATGGGGTCCTTGGGAGAAGCGAAAACCTGATTTTGACAGGTACCCACTCCCACTTTCGCTTTGACCGCCTAGGTGTTCAGAAGCAGAAATTCTCCTCCCTCCCCGCAGCTTCTGGGACATGTGACAGGTCCCAGAAGACTGCGGGACCATTCACAATGCGCAGCGCTACTTGCACATGCGCAGTGGGCACCCGGCTGTGAAGCAACAAGCCATTAGAGCCGGGTGCCCACACTGAAGATGCTGGGGACAGAGGACTGCCAATGAACCCCAGCTGGGGTGAGGACACCGCTGGATCGTGGGACAGGTGAGTGCCTGTTTTTTTTTTTTTTTTTTTTTTTTAAAAAAAACAGCCAGTTTTTTTTTTTAGCTGCCGATTTGTATTTTTTTTTTTTTTTTTTAACAGGAGGCTAGAGCTTCGCTAAAATCTCTGCATCAACCGTCCAGCAATGCAGCAGTTTCATCCTTCACTGGCCACTGTCATCTTCTCCCAGGTGCAGGATTTTTGGCCTCGATTGGCCGGTGGGGATGATATCAATCACTCGTGTATTGCACATGTGAATTAGTAATTCCAGCACACGCCAAGCTGCACATGCATAGCTCAGTGTGCATTCAATGGAAATTGCAAGCAGGCAAGTGCCTATTATTGCAGAAGAGACATGTCTCTATAGAGCTGCCTGCCCGCAGTTTCCTCCAAGTTTAGTGCCACTTTCACTGAATAAGCGGCTTGCGGTGAGCAGCTGCTCCAGATTTTTTTTCTCCAGTTCTAGTAAATTCCCACATTGTGCAAATTATGTTTCAGGCACTGGAAAAAAAAAAACAGCAGGAGAGGGAAAATCTCCCAATGGAGATATTGGCTCCACTGCCAACTGTCTGCTCAAACTAATTTCCTTTCACTGTTGTGTCTAAAGGACAAGAAGTGAAGAGAAATCTCCCAAATGGGATACAAACACATTCAGAGGGGCAGACGGTTCTCTGGATTATTATTGCAGGAATCTTTTCCAATCCTGAGCAGGAATGTTATGCATTACAATTGGTGAAAAGACCTGGAAGGTACTAAATGCTGCCATCTCCAAATGAAACCGTTCATGTAGAACTCAATGATTTGGTTTTTCCGCTTCCCCACCTTCCTGTTTTAACAAAAAACAAACAAAAAAACAATTCCAGGCTGTACATACCCTCTCCAGTGCCAGCGGTCCTGTCAGAACACTCCTGTCATTCTGCCCATTACTTGTGAGCTTAATACCCTCCCTGGTGGGTGCGTCATCATGCAGGCTGAGCTCACAGTACTTCAGGACTGAGGGCCGTATCACACCATTCCCACATCTGAATCGCATAGGAATGCACTGTGTGTTCCTGTGCAACTCCCATGTGGTTCTGTGCAGTGCGATTTGAGCCCATTCATTTTTAACCACTTCAAGTCCAGACACTTTCACCCCCTTCCTGTCCAGGCCAATTTTCAGCTTTCAGCGCTATCACACTTTGAATGACAATTGCGCGGTCATGCAACACTGTACCCATATGAAATGTTTATCATTTTTTGGAGACAGATAAAGCTTTATTTTGGTGGTATTTATTCACCACTGGGATTTTTATTTTTTTTTGCAATGTTAAATGTCCAAAAATGTTGAAAACAAAATAACCCAAATTAGTTTATAACCAAAAATCATAATTTTTAAACACTTTTTTACATTTTTATTTTTTTATATTATTTATGTGTTGTTTTTTTTTTTTTTTTTACATACTGTCACCCTAGCAGTACACTGTCACCATGGTGACACTGTATTACTTGTGGGGGGTGATGAAGATTTTTTTTTTTTTTACACTGATTACTTTTACACCCATAAAGACTGTAAAAGCAATCATTTCTCCTTCTCTCTGCATTCTTGCAGCCATTGAGAACTACTGTGTGAACTGTGATTGGTAACAGCTTGTTGTGAATAGCCTTGTACCATGTGACCTCTGTGATCATTCACAGATTTCACACGTAGTAAGCAATGATGTCAGAAGTACTCTGCATGGGATCATTGCTTGGCCAATCAGTGATCACAGGGCAGAGAGGTCCCGTACGACGATCGGTGTTCCACTGTGTCCGGAGGACACAGCTGGCACCGGATCGCGGTGCTGCGTGCTCCCACAGAGCGCGAACAAGCAGGGGGTCGTTTTATAAACGGCCACCTGACCCTGCACTGCCACCGTCCTGCCGTATATATATACAACGGCCGGACGGGAGGTGGTTAATGGGCTGAAATCGCACCGCACCAAAAGTAGTGCATGTAGAACTTTTTAAAGTGCACTGCAATCAGATCGCCTAGTACAAAACAGCCATGCAATCTGGTGCAGGCAAGTGTGGGCAAGCGCACTACATTTGAGGTGTCATTAACATTTTATTGACACCTACTGCAGATCCCAAATGGGATGCGTTTTGCATGTGGATTGAAACGCACAGCACATTCCCATGTTATTCAGATACAGGCATGGTGTGAACCAGAACAGAGGGCGCTCATATGTCACTGCAACATCACCACACAGTCCAAGAAAAAAAAAAAAAAACCCACCCCCCCTCCCTGACCGCCATCACGGAAAAAGAGGAAGCTTCCCTGGCAAAGGCAGCTGAAGTAGCAATCACCATAGGTGGTGTTCTGCTTTGACACAACTCCCAAAAACAAGCCGATTCTCCTGTCACTCTATGAAAGCAAAAGTCAGATTCTCACGCTAGGATTGTGGCCTCCAGGATGTCCAGAGCACTCAGATGGACCCGAGGTAGAACAAGTAGCTTTATGGCTTCTTCTCCCTGCCAGCTCTGCGAAGAGACAGAGAGAGAGAAGTATCAGCCAAACGTCTGAGGTAAGTATGGAAGAACAGACCAAAGACAGCTGGAGCTCCATTCACAGCATGGTATCTACTGCTTTACGATCCACGGGAAAATACCTCTTAGCGTTTCTCAAAACTTTTTACGCAATTCACTAAAAAAACACTCATAAAATAAGGCATGTGTTATTTCATCAAAATTTGCAGCAATTATCTCATGAAACCAATTGGTACTTTATCACATGACATCCTATCCAGTGGGATGGATACAGCGTAGAGGAATTAGAACACCTTGCAGTTTTTATTGCGGTCTGTGCCTGTTAGAGAGATTCACCCGCTATTTCTACGGTTTCTCCTTCCAAAGCGAAAGGGAGAGAAAATCCCCATATGTTGGGTTGACATCTGAACACTAACAGAGGGAAAATTTCTCCAATTGGAAACAGATGGCAAAAACAAACACTGATGGGGGTTCTAACCCTCCATTACTAACCCTCCATTTTTTTTTTTTTTTTTAAACTTTTGCCTATAGTTACACTTTTTTACTGTGATATTTGGTGAATTCATTGCTATATATCTTTGGACAGGTCTGTTTTGTCTTGCTAGAGAATAGCCATTGGAGAGATTTACTTAAACTGGAGCCCAGAGAATCTGGTGCAGCTGTTCATAGTAACCAATCAGCTTCTAAATACATATGAGGCTTTGACAAGAACACCTAGTCGCTTATTGGTTACTATACACAGCTGTGCCAGATTCTCTGTATATTGTTTATTTATTTCAGGTACTTATATAACACCATCAATTTACGCAGCACTTTACATAATATTGTACATTCACATCAGTCCCTAACCCTCAAGGGGTGTACAATCTAAGGACCCTAACCCTCAAGGGGTGTACAATCTAAGGGCCCTAACTCACATTCATACATACACATACTAGGGACAATTTAGACAGGAGCCAATTAACCTACCAGCATGTCTTTGGAGTGTGGGAGGAAACCGGAGTACCCTGAGGAAACCCACTCAATATATCTCCAAAGGCATTTGGGAAAAATTTAAAGTATCCCCACTACATATGGCATACAGTACGTTCTAACAAAGGATTAGACCATTGTGATATGCATGCACATTGCATTACCCACATGGAAGAAAAATATATTTGAAATGCTACAATTTGGGCCATATTCAATAAATATATATATATCTATAGAGAGAGAGAGAAAAAAGAGAGAATGAGAATATATATAGATAAATAGATATATACTGCATGTTGAAATGTGGTTTTTATATATTAAAAAAATATACTTTTTAAATATATTGTTTTCAGATTTTTTTTTAACATATAATGTTGAAATGTATTTTTTGTTACAAAATATATGAAAAAATATTTTTAAAAATACATTTCAAATATACTGTATGTCTTTAGCAATAAAAATCTACATTTTTGGAATGCATTTACAAATATATGTAAAAATATATGTTAAAATTACTTTTTTTATATGTTAACCCCTTCACGCCTAAGGGTAAAACAAATCTAAATGCCTAAGCACAATTTTGCAACGTTGACATGTGTTAATAAAACCGTCCATATCATCACAACTACTTTGTACATCGGGGGAATTATACCGTGTTTTTTTCAGGACAAATTGGGATTTCATTTGGTAGTAAATAGTAATGGATATCTCCTGATTTTTTTTTTATTATCAAAGGAAAACTGGCCCAAAATAGTAAAAAAAAAAAAAAATCTTTTTTTTTTAGTTAGCTGTGTTTTTCTTGTTACCACCGTAACCTACCACCAAAGAATAACCCAAAATAAATTCTCCAGCTCTTGCCGAACGCAGCGATACTGTATATGTGTATGTTATTTGTTGTTTGTATCCGTAGTACAGCCCAGAAACAATAGTGCGCATTTTGCTTTTGTCTTTTATTTTTTTAACCTAAAACACACTGACACCTTTTTTTTTTTTAAATCCCGACCTTTTGACTTTGACCTTTGACCATGACCTTGACCCAAACAATAACCCTGGCACTGAACTAGATCAAACCTTGATCTAGGTATTTTTTCTCTTTACTTTTTAATATTTATGGGTTTTTTTTTTTTTTACAAAATTTTTTTTTCTCTCTATGCCAGGAGTTGGCGATACAATGCATCTCTCTTCTCCATTCATATAGGGAAAAAAAAAAGGGGGCCGGGCTGCACAGTGACTGATTACTGTGATAGCCAATCAGAGGCTATCACAGCGATCATGAGACCCGGAATTGGGAGCCCCGAGCATTAGAACAGGACCCGGGGGCTCCCAGTGACACCACGGTCTTTGTGCTGGAAGCGTGTAGTGTGGCGCGCCCCCAGCTCAAAGACGGGTACGCAAATATGCGGCCCTACGGAAAAAAGGCCAGTTCCATGAGGCCGCATATTTGTGTGACGTCAGCATCAAGGGGTTAAAAAAAACTGAAGAATATATTTAAAATATATATATTTGTCATATATTTTGTAATATATAAAAAACGCATTTCAACATGCAGTATCTATCTATATTTATTGAAATATACTGAATATGGCCAAAATTTTACAAAATTGTAGAATTCCAAATATATCTCAATATATTTGGGAAGAATATTTTAAAAATATATTTCAAATATATTTTTCTTCCATGTGGGTATGTTTGGAGAGATAGGGAGGTTAATGCAGCAAATGATATATATGCTTGTATATACACAAAAAAAGTCTCTGAAAATGTGGCGAAATGACAGGAGAAAATAAATATATTTCACTAAATGTAACATTTCTGTGTTTCTCTCCATATTTTGGCTTCTATGCAATAAGGTCCAAAAAAGGTAAAGACTTCTCCAAATTGACTATTATATTTTTACATTCCTTCAATATCGCATGCCTGGACCACTACTTATTTAACGCATGCATTTATTTATTTTGTTCAGTGAACTGACTTTATCGCTGTTTTATGCAGTATTTATACGTTTTTTTTTTTGTTTGTTTTTTTTAACTAAAGGCTGCACAAAAGGATAGTGAATTGACATTTTCAGCACTGCATGATATTTGGGAAAAATGTGTCAGATCACCTAAATACCGCATGCAATCTGCTTTAGTGAATGGAGCCCATTATCCTGACACTTGTCAGTCATACAACAAAGCATCATCTTCATCACAGGTCATTGAAAATCAATAGAGACATTTACTATAAGCCAAAATCTGTACTGAATATGCTATAAAGGGAACATCTGTACTAGGTTTGGATATTTATGAGTGTAATCACCTTTAAACCTTCCTCCAGGGGCTCCTAACCAGGGGCGGACTGACCATTTGGAAACTCGGGCACTGCCCGAGGTCAGTAGGGGGGCCCCATGAGATGCCCGTTACCTTTTTCATAGGCTTTTTTGAGTTTGGGTAAGGACACATAGGCCCCATGATCCCCTATTGCCCGGGGGCCCCATGAGTTGTCAGTCCGCCCCTGCTCCTAACCCCTCACTACAAACTACAGGACGCCTATTAGGTCTGTTTAAAAGCAAACTGGCTACTTTACCTCTTGAACAACGGAAACACTAGATGGCCATTATACCGTGATTTAAGAGTTGAGAAGCAAAACATTTTAGGAAAATTAGGATTGGCACATGTGGTAAAGACACAGCTCCCATGGGGCTTTATGTTCCCTTTCAGGGACTTACCAAGTTTTTAGCGCTTACGTTCACCACCCTGCAGACCAAATTCAGTATATCTGACACAGGTACTCGCACTGGAGCTGGGAACTGCTCCCTGTAAGAAAAATCAAAAAGGATGATGCAATTTTGTCATTTGGTGAAGCCTTAATGTACTGAAAATGCTAGGAAAAAAATAAACAAAAAACACAAAGAAAAAGCACTTAAAATCTTAATCAGTTTAATTTTAGTTCACTTTCTAAAATACTTTAACAAAACCGTTTTAAAAGCTGACCCACTGCATAGGTTTAAAGCATTCCTCTGATTGGCTGAGGTAGAGATCGTGAAAGCATCCACCCGACTCTCTACCTTAGCCAGAGGAAGTCTTGTATTCATTTATGTAAAAATGCCAGGCTTCCTGTACATGAGAAGTACTCGGTCTGAATCAGTTTTGTTATGACAGCAGACGGGAGTCCCCATACTGCTGCCTGAACAGAATGACGACCGTGCCGAGCAAGTGACCTATTTTGTTCACTATGCAGAAGACAGCTGCTTGACACAGGGCCTGGAGGCAAGCAGTGATCACTGGAGCATCGGTGCAAACTACAGAGATTTACAGCTTTCACAGGGGTCCCAGAGGTATGCATACACATTATTATTATTATACAGGATTTATATATTATTATTATTATACAGGATTTATATATTATTATTATTATTATTATTATTAAACAGGATTTATATATTATTATTATTATACAGGATTTATATATTATTATTATTATACAGGATTTATATATTATTATTATACAGGATTTATATATTATTATTATACAGGATTTATATATTATTATTATTATACAGGATTTATATATATTATTATTATTATACAGGATTTATATATTATTATTATTATACAGGATTTATATAGCGCCAACAGTTTTCAGCGCTTTACAATATAACAGGAGACAATACAGCATCAACACAGTTCAATACAGGAGGGATAGGAGGGCCTGATCCTGGGATTACATATTACATACATACATAGACCCTAGCTGGACCAATGTAACTAGGCAAAAATTCGATATATAAACCTTAGTTTCAAACCCCTCCTATCCAGCCAAGCAAAGCCAACGTTTCTCTGCTACAAACCTTATTTATTTCAGGTCCTTATATATAATACAGCGCTTTACATATTATTGTACATTCACATCAGTCCCTAACCCTCAAGGGGGTACAATCTAAGGTCCCTAACTCACATTGCTACACATACTAGGGACAATTTAGACAGGAGCCAATTCACCTAACAGTGTAGAGGAAACTGGATTACCCGGAGGAAACCCACGCAGGCACAGGGTTCAATGCACACTCCAGGCAGGAGGTGCCATGGCTGGGATTCGAACCAACGACCCTGGTACTGCCAGGCGG